GGCGGCCATCGGAAGGAAGGAAAGACCTCAAAGATCGACCCCAAAAACGGTAGATTTATTTGCCTAGAGAAGGAGGAGGTGCGGCCCCGGGCCTTAATGGGTGGGTGGTCAATCAAAAGATCTACATTTTACTAGCCTAAAATAATTGCAATGAAAAAATAAAGCTTCAAATTTACCTGGGCGGGCATCTCGGTAGGGCCGGAATTTGAGGTGCCGAGGAAATAGTCGTAGTCGGCTTCTTGATATTTTGATGGGACCTGAAAAAGGCAGATAAAGAGGAGAGAGCGAGAAAGAGAGAGAGAAAGAGAGAGAGAGAGAGAGAGAGAGATTCTTAGCCCTCTCACGCACCGTCGTCGACACTTCAGCCTTTTTCTGCGGCTTCGCAACATGCTTCGGACTTGTCTGCCAAGTGACGGTTGGCTCTTCGCGTACTTGCTGGAATCCTTCGTCACGCTTCGCCTCGTTCGTCGGTTGAGGCCTTGATTGGGTATGACCATTCGCCATTGGCTGTAAACGGAAAAATTGGACAGAAAAGGGGATGTTGACGTCAGTATTTTGGCTGAGAAAAATAGGAAAACTGGTCTAAGGTACGATCGGCTACGTGTACGGTACCCTGTAAATAGGGTACGTTAAGAGTACGATACCTTCGGAGTACAGTACGGGAATAAAATACGCAACGACTACGGAGCATTGCCCTACGCGTACAGTATGACTACGGTAAGTTAGGAGACGTTTTGGATCGTATGCATGTCAAAAATTAAGGTATCGCGCACCTGTCTCTGCTCCTCCCTTTGCCTATAATTCTGATGCTGCGTCGGCGCCGGAGGTCTTGCGTAGGGTTGCGTAGGCCGTGCCTGATAACTTCCGCTTTTCGATGGGCTGTAGCCGGGAGCGACTGGGCGGTTTGTACTATAAAAATTTACAAAACAAAAACCCAAGATTACCCGGATCTTCTCTCCTCCTCCTCACGCTGTCGCTGACTTTGTGCCTTCAGCCAGACGTCAACCTTCTGAAACAAAATGTTAGTGTTCAAAATCAGGTGGAAAATAGGATCTTAAAGGGAGCGTGACAGGTGGGTGCCACGAACCCTTTAAAGCGCCTTAAATACGGAAGCTCGACACTACAAAGCAACGTAAAAGCGCAAGAAATCAGCGGTTAGTGATAGCGTTTGAAGCAGAAAACTGTAGATATCTCTCTATCTTTCTCTCTATCTCTCTCTCTCTCTCTCTCTCTCTCTCTCTCTTTCTCTTGCCACCTCAAAGCCCTGTATCGTGGAGAAAGCGTAGTTTCTGGCAACCCTCACCGGACCCGGCGGAATTGGTGGCTCGACGTCAGTGTCAACTATCTACATTTTCACTAATTATTAAAACTTCTCTGACTTTCTCTCTATCTCGCTCGCTCTCTCTCTCTCTATAAGTCGCTCTCTCTCTTCGATCTACCCTCTCTCTCCTCTCCCTCTCTCTACCCTCTCTCCCTCTCTCCTCTCTCTCTCCTTCCCTCTCTCTGTCTCTCTCTTTCTCTCTCGCTCGCCCTCTCTCATACTCTAACCTAAAGGGAAAGCAGTCGCAAAGCCATATCGTGATGCGATAATTCAAAGCTTTAAAGAAACCAAAAGGTGAAGATTAATTAAAATACCATTGGTCTAATCGCTGCCATGTTCTAAACTAAACACGTTACATGATAAAATCATTATAAAAATATGGGCCGTAGATCGATTGGACCGTCTCAACATAGAAGCCAAAAATCAACTAACCCTTGGTTCGACGCCAGCATCAGCAGCCTTGCCGTAGCTGCACCAGCCGCAGATTGCGTGCGATTGGGCCGACTAAAAGGAGCTTTTGGCAACTTTTTTGTTTGTCGATGCATTTCCAAAAAATTCCTGCTAACTAACCCTTCAAATTTAGGCAAAAAAGGGGGGTGATTCGCGAAATTTTTGGCAGGCCTTTAAAGAGACTTGGGAGGTAGAAATCCCGCAAAAAATGGCTTCCCTGCTGCTATCTGGTCTGCCCAAAATTTATCCAAAAAATCAGAGTAAATGAGACCGTTACCTTTAATGTATCAATCGTATCGGAAAATTGTCCCAAGTCCGAGCGAGCGGCTGTGATCACGTGCGCCATTCGACCACATCTAAGCGAAAAATTTTGGCCCTAGGTGAGTCCGACTTGTCAAAAATGGCAATCTCGTGCTCCTGGACTCCCAGCTTTTCATAGGTGGAATCGACATCTCGATCGATGAGGACACGCGGGAATTCGGTCTGCAATTTTGGGTTTGTGCTAGCTGTCTCCATCCCTTTAGAGATGGAAAAAATAGGGAGTTAGAGCGGAGGAGAGCGAGAGGGAGCAAGAGAGATAAAGAGAGAGAGAGAGAGAGAGAAAGGGAGAGAGAGAGAAGGAAAGAGAGAGAGAGCTCACCTGAACCTTCCCAATAATACCGTAATTCTCAAAATGCGGCGCCAAGACCGCCACCCGAACTCCGTGATTTGTAGTGGCTAGCGCGGAGAGCCTAAAAAATCAGATTTTTATACAAATTACCCATTTTCGTAAATCTGGTTCTTCTCTCTCTCTCTCTCTCTCTCTCTCTCTCTCTCTCTCTCTCTTTATTAAAACTAAAAAAATTGACCTCTCCAGCTGTTGCCGACATCTGGGGCATTGGAGGGGCATAAAAGAGATGAGCACCAGTTGACCCTGCAAAAAGCGGGTGGATGGGTTTTGGTTTTACAGGCACACACGAACGTGCGCGTTGCGTGGCGCGGAGTCTTCAAATCCACCGCTTGCTCGTTCCTTTATGCCCCCAATTTCCCACCTTTCCAGTCTTGATATAATCGGCGCCTCGGAATACGATAGACGTCGGTGTGCATAGGTCCGTTTTGATGCCCCAAACGGCTGGCAACACGCCAAAAATTAGCGTGGCAGCGAGGAGGGGGGACATTTGAAGGGTTGGGGTGGCTACATGAAGACCTGAAAAAACTGGGGAAATACATATGCTGAAAAATATGGGAAAAAAAGGGCAGACTAGCCGAGAACATTGGGGAAAATTAAAACAAAAGGGGCAAACCAGCCGGGATTGCTCAGGAACTCGCTTATTTTTAGGCAAGATAAATATGGTTTCAGAAATGAAGGAGAAAGGGAGTGAAAGAGGGAGAGAGAGAGAGAGAGAGAACGAGCGAGAGAGAGAGAGAGAGAGAGAGAGAGAGAGAGAGAGAGTGAGAGAGAAGGGTAAGAGGCAAAAAACAGGCAAGCGAAGGCTCAAAAAAACGTTACGGGTGTCTCAAAAACCCCTCGGCATTGGCCGTCTTCCACAACGGGACCAAAATTACCAGTGATGGGGACCCAAAAAAACAGTGCAGCCGAATTCAAGCAAAAAATTGGAAAACAAAAAAGAAAAAACAAAAATAAGGTTAATTGCCGATTCACAGGTTTGACGGATTCGGCCCGAAAGTTAGCAAAAAAGAAAAGGGCGCCTGTTCTACCTGTAGAAATTTTGATTAACGAAAAATACGTTTAAATTGGGCTTTCGACACTTTATTATCGAAATTGCCAAAAACTGACCAAAAAAAGACCATTTTGAAAAATACTCAAAATCCGCATGCTAATTGCGAAAACATAGCCAAAAACAGTACCACGCCTTCCAAAAACAGTTTAGGATAACTTTTGGTTTACAATTTTGCTGAAAATTTGGCTGCACGTTTATGGGTCCCCACCTGGAAGGGCCCCGACCGATGAAGACGGCCAAACCGAGGGGGGGTTTAGGGGACACCTAGACCACTTAAAATAGGAATGCAAGCCAGCTATCTCTCAGCAAAATCTCAAAAACGAAATCAGACTGTTTTAAGAAAAACACCCGACGGCCCGATTTTCATTGCAAAATAAAACAGATCCTGACGCCGATAGGATCAATGATGATGCGAGAGAGGAGGAGAGAGAGAGAGAGAAAGAGAGAGAGAGAGAGGGAGAGAGGGAGATTCCAGTGTTAGAAACAGATACCCGGCTGGCTGTCGGTGTGGCTGTCCCCTCCAGTGAGACTGAGGTGTAATGGACGAGCCCCCCAGAGGGGAAGGGAGCAAAAGGACCCATATGACTGCCACTCATCCTATTTTTTCGCCCAGGCTCACAAAATCATCTTCAGGGCCCTGGTCCAGGTGTCCTCGTGAAGATGGAGATCCTGAAATGGGTCTGGCCGGGTGAAACGGGAGACCGGAGTGAAACGGAAATGCCGGTCGGGGTGGCTTGGAAGGACGAAGTACACCTATAGACGGTTGGTTAAAAAGGCCAGAAGCCTGGTTCTTGGCCAAAATTAAAGGATAGTTACTGTAGAGCAACGTAGCTATTATTTTCCAAATTTCTGGTGGATTGCAAGTACGGAGTACACCTATCTACGGAACTCACATCTACCGAATCCGGGTTTTTTGCTAGGATCTATGGATAGCTACCGTAGCACATTGAACTTGCCATATTTTCGATAGATTCCAGTGATGCATTTTAAATTTTTGTGGCATAAAACGCAAATGAATCATCATTTTAGAAAATCTGAAAATCCAGGGTGTTTTTCCAGAACTCGAAAATTTTAATTTCTTAAAATTATCGTATCTAAAGTATATTAAAACAATTCTTAGACTTTTTACGTATAATTGGCATTTGGTATACGTTACATTAAATTCCTTGGCGGCGCAACGGCTTTATCGTTGAAAACTGATGATTTTCACAATGTTACAAAATTATGCACTTGTCACGTTGTTCTCGCACATTTCATTTGAGGAGACTATTTTTTCGCGAATTTGCTGAGCATTCCATCACTCACCTATGGACGTGACAAGTTTAAAAAACCTTTTTTGAACCGCAGAACTGACCGCCAAGGCTAAAACCCTGAAAAATTAACGCGGGCGAGAATATGCAGATGGTCAGGTCAACGGGGGTCAATCCGATTCAGTGGAGGGCATCCAGGGTCATTTCCCAAAACCACCACATCTTTCCATCAACCACCGAAAAACCCTAGAAAAAAAGATGCATCCTTTTCTAATCTTCCTCCTGATCCCGGCCATTTATTGTGCTTGCGGCACCCCGACCGAATGTCAACAGATCGCCCAGCGATTGGATAAGGTGCGTTTTGTGAAGTTTTTGGGCTTGAGTACGAGCCAATTTTTTGTTGTTGATTTAAGGTAAATTATACGTAAGATGTAGCCTTGCAAGAGCAACAGTGCTTTGTACTTGGGATACCCAATGTTTTGGCGGCAAATATATAGTTATGTATTCCGGGGGGAAAATGACGCGCGAATTTGTGCGGTAATGGATGCCCAGTGCCGCACAGAATTCGGCCTCACTCCCCCCTTGTGCGTCCCCATCTCGACCAATGGCTTGCCACTATGGCCTAAAGGATAGCCCAGGTCTGGAAAGCGGGGGCCCGGGGCCCGCCCGCGCATGGTTTTGCTTTTGAGCCCCGAAAAGGTTGGGTATCCCTTTAAAGACTACCAGAACGATGGAACCGCACTGTCACCCCGAGGGTGCTGCCCCCAAGAACGCGCGAGAGGGTCGTCATTAGTGGTGTCCAGTATTGGGCAAAGACCCTCTGGGGTTTGGGGCCCTCTGACGCCTTACAAACTTGCCGTGGTATAGTGGCGTAGCGCGGACTGTGAGCGAACCATGGCGGGTTCGACCGCTCCGGTGCGCAACCTTGCTATAAACGGAAATAATCGTTCTGGCGGTTTAAAGGAACATCACCTCGCAATTTTATGAAACGACCCCGCCAAGCACCTTGTTTCTAAAGCGTGGGGGCCCCCGTGGGAAGAGGCCTTGCGCCGTCGGCGGTTGGCCATTGGTTTCTGTTCGCTGGCCGCAAGAGGCCTGGTCAACCCCGGACGGCAACGCTTTTGCTTCTTCACGAAAGCTGGAGTTTGATGCTTTAAGCGTAGCGTATCTCTGCTGATAAAGTGCTAGGTGTAGTTAATTGTAGCATAGCGTGGCCAAAGCCCCGAATCGGCGTATTTCCAACACGCGGCTATAACACTAGATTTTCACAAAACAAAAATTTTTTTCCGTTTTCGGATTTTTAATGAACGTTGCAGGGAAAAACGGGCGGTAGGAGATGGGGTAGCCAAAGTTTTGTACGCGTATTCGTCAACGACTTTTTCACACGATTTTTTTGTAGAACTAACCTAGATTAGACCAAGCCCCGACAGGAACGCGCGTAATTTGGGGCGTAGCGCAGCCAAGAGTGAAGCTTGAATTTTCCGCCATTATTCTCAACTATAGTTTCATCTTAAGCATTTTCAGATGAAAGCCGAGATGCGCCATGGGGGCGGCTTCAAAGACCACGAGATGACCACCATGTCTACCACGCGAAGGGCAGATTACAATGCCACCTCGGAGTCAAAGCGCCAGAAATTCCAAGGTATTTTTTAATTTTGCCTTGCTTTATTTTTAGGCCAAACGAGTTAGTTGCCGTAATACGCCTCGTTGCGTTTGCCTACTTACGAAGCATTTTAGCCAATTTTTAAACTTAGCGATCGTGGCCAATTAATTTTAATTATCTTTTATGCAAGTCAACCATCGTAATCGTTTAGGCTCCAAGTCCAACAGCACCGAAACGAGCACCACCGGCCTCGGCGAACGGAATCGACAACTGCGCGAATGTGACTCCGGTGATGGAGTGAGTTGATTTTTAACAGTCCATTCATGGGCGTAGCGGATGCGTAACGGTCTTGCCACAATAGTGCCGCTTAGCCTAAGTTCCCGGTTAGAAAACCGCGGACATGAACGCGCCACGAAATCCGAGAGCCCGTAACGACCACAGATGTCGAAAATTGCGCGTAGCCGTACGGGAATCCACTTCAAAAATTCTTAGAAGACCGCGACGCGACCCAGCCCCTTTAAAATCCATTTTCCAGACCCCCAACTGCTGCCCCCGGGACCTCCTTATCAACCTCGACGTGAGTTTTCAGCTTTGCAAGCAGTACAGTCCCATTTAGCATTTCGACGGCTGGGATTTTGTCGTCGCCCCCAGGGAGATCAACGTCCGCCAATGCGTCGGCGACTGCACCGTGCCGCACCTGCTGGTTCGTTTTTGTTTGGGGGTTGTTTGCCGCAATTGGTACTGGACTGCCAGCAAGGAGCGGTGAAAATCAAGATTGTTTAAAATAAAACCTTTTTGAAAGTTTGTATCTGTTTTATAGCAAAAAGCGGTCCGGGCCCACCGAAGAAAATTTGTTTATTCTCCGCCCCCCCCCCCGCACGGCGGGGGGCCGCAAAAGTCATAGGGAACCGTATCCGACAAAAAAATTTTTAAAAAACCCTGCCTTGTCTGTTCCTTTCAAATAGTCACCAACTATTTGCAATCGAAGCTTCTTGAATTTCTACCTTTTAAGACCACGCGGGAAAACCTTGAGAAGAAAGACATGCTCCATCTCACGCGCAACGACTTCCTCCGGGCCAGCTACGCGGTCGAGGTAAGGCTTTTCCATGGATTTAAAAATATCTATTTCTACTTTTTCTTTTCCATTTCCTAAAGAACCTTTCTCAGCTAGCGCCCACGTGCTGCCACATCGACAGCTACGCGCCGCTCGACACCATCCTCATCTTCCCCAACCAGACGGTCACCAAGTACGTCTTCCACAACGTCGTTGCGCTCAGCTGCTCGTGCTTCTGAGGTGGAAACGAAAGCGCGTGGGAATTCTGTTAATGTTGTAAATTTTTGTTATGCAATTTCCAGAATTTTAAAATAAACTTTTAAATTAGCGTTGGAGCATGACGGAATTTACCAATATGTCCTTTTCCAACCTTTTATCTCGCTCTGACTATTTATTTTTTTTCAAATGGCTCTTGCTCTTTCTCTCTCCCTCTCTCTCTCTCTCTCTCTCACATAACACACTCTCTCGCTCTCTCTCTCTCTCTCTCTCTCACTCCCTCTCTCTCTCCCTCTCTCTCCCTGTCTCCCCTCAGTCTCTCCCCGGCTCTCTCTCTCTCTCTCTCTCTCTCTCTCTCTCCCTCTCGCGCTCTCCTCTTTCTGTCTCTTTCTCGCTCTCCAAATCTCTATACTTTGGCCAACATCCAGCTCTGTCTCCTTCCCCTCACTTCTCAATCCCTTTAAATAATCCCCCCTCCTCCGATCATCCACCCCTCCAATATGCCCGAGAGCTGTCAACCATAGCGGCCCTATTTTTGAGAAGTCCCCTGGTGGGCCCACCCCAGCTGGAGGCCCTTCTCCGCCTCGAGATGGTTGGGGACAGATAGCAGGGGATGAAGTCCGAGGGAAAGGGATGGTTGTGATGGGCTGTGACAAGAGATGTCGCTTTATGTTAAAACACACTCCAACACACCCTCTGGGGGCATCACAAATAGCGCTATGGCTGTCAGGAGATCCTGAAAAAGGTGTATACATGCAGATTGGAAACTTGGATAAGGAAGAAGAATGATGCGGGGTGTCGTGGAATTTTTGGCGTTTTTGGAGTTTTACGTTTTTAGGAGGAAGCCCACGGCTATGGTAGTCTTTAGTGGGTCTTCAAAATGGTGATTTCAAGCTCGTCTCACTATCCAGCTCTCGACTTCGCTCTGTCTCTCGCTCTGTCACTCTCTCTCGCTCTCTCTCCCTCTGTATCTCTCTCTCTCTCATTCGCTCTCTATATCTTTCTCCCTCTCTCTCTGTCTCGGTATCTCGCCCTCTCTCTCTATCTCAATATCTCGCCCTCTCTCTCTCTCTCTCTCTCTCTCTCTCTCTAGCTCTCTATCTATGTCTCTCTCTCCGTCTCTCTATCTGTCTCTCTCACCCTCTCTATCTCTGTCTCTATCTCTGTCTCTATCTCACGCTCTCTTCCTCTCGCTCTCTCTCACTCTCTCGCTCTCTCTCGTCAGGAACATCCCTTCAATCCCTTTAAAAGCTCAATTTCACCTTGTCTTCTTGTGCTCCACCTCATTCCTTCTTGCGGCGCCGTTTTTTGGTGTCCCCCGGAATTCTCGAGTTTCCCGCCCCATCCCGCCGGGTTGTGTGTCGCCGCCCTGCCGTATATTCTCATATTTATGGACTGTAATGTTGAAGTGAAAACAAGAAAGCGAGGGAGAGAGAGCGAGAGAGACAGCAAGCTACGATCTCTTTCTCATTCTCTCGCAGCTGTGGCCCTCAAAAAGGGGCCCAGCTGGGCCCCCTTCTCCGGTGTGGCCAAGGGGAGGAGTGTTGTGGTGGGGCAAAAAACGGCCCGGGGGCTCCATGACTTGGGCCCCTTCGGGTGCTCTGGTCCACTGGTCCGGATTCCATTCGCTAATTGGCCCTTGATCGACCGGAGGTGGGGCTTGAACGACGGCTGGCGCTCCGTCTCGAAATTCTGCTTGAAATTAGCCTTTTCAGCGCTGTTAAAAATTATTTTGGTTTCCGGAGCTCTGCGGGATCCATTTCTTATGTTTTATTTTGTGGTTTTTTTGTAGGAAACATCTTACTGTGGGTTTTAGACGATTCGGGTTTGCGCCCTTTCTACCGTACCCTAGCCTATAGCTTAGAATTTGCCCTGAAATACCGTAATCTTTGGAATTTGGGCACTAGGGTTTTGAGCGTACCGACTCGGATTTTTTGGCATCGTGGCACCGGAAGAATTTCAGTCATAATCCCGACAATCCACATCCCGACAAATGTTGGGCGCTAGTTTTAAGCCTTTTTTAAACAGCTATTTCTCAAGTCGGGATTTTGGCTGTCCGATTTAGGATGCCGGTATTATGGCAGCCGGTATTTCGACTGTCGGTATTTTGGCATCTCGCGATTTAAGCTGTCGGGATCTCGATGTTTTCCCTTGTGGACGATGTCGTAATTAGGAGTTATGTGTAGCTTAATCGTCATGTTTTGAGTTAAACATACTGTAACCCCAGATTTGGGTGTATTTTAGCTTCAAAATCTGCAAAAAGTATTCTTAGCCTAGAATTTCGTAAAGTGTCGGAATCCCGCTTATGATTACACTCAATAACCACCTTCCTTTTTGACCAATTCCCCGAAAAGCCCTAACGAAACCCGATTCAGCCTAATTTGTCTGTATGTAGCGATCATCAATTCCCACCCCATCCCATCCCTAAATGCTATACAATCACATGTCCATGGCTGGGCGAGAGGCGATTTTTACGCGTCTCAAGGGCGCCAACAACCCTCCGGGGCCTATCCGATTTCATTTGGGCCCTCCATCTGGGTCCTCCCCCCCCCAGGCACCACAGGAGCACCAGGGCCCCGTCCTTCCCCAGCCTACCTCGATTGATCCCGCCATTTTAGGGCTGGTTTTCTTGTTTTCGGAGAACGGCAACTACAAAAGTTTGTTTTGGCGCTTGGTGACACATACAAAAATATTTTAAAGGAATGGTGGCACCAAAATCGATTTGACTAGTTTGCTGATTTAGCGAGGTTCTGATCTCCATTTTTGCGTGTTGCAGGTCTGTTAGAGCGCTCAGCGTGCTTAAAGAATCTCTGCTAGCTTGCCTTGATCGAAACTAGGTCCGGTGAAATCTCGGCCTCTTTCTGGCCAGATAAAATCTTGCTGAAGGTTATTTGCGCTTGAGCGAATTTGGGGGTTCCCTGACTTGCTAGCTCGTTTTGCGAAAACTGTATCTATCTATCGCCTACTCTCTCGATCGTTTGCTCTCTCTAGTCTCTCTCTCTCTTTCTCTCTCTCTCTCTCTCTCTCTCTCTCTCTCTCTCTCTCTCCCACTCTCTCTCTCTCTCTCTCTCTCTCTCCACCTCTCTCGCTCTCCGTCTTTATTGCTCCCCGTCTCTCTCTCACTATCACTTGCCGCCAAACCAGCAGTCCAAAAAAACCGGAAACGGTTGCTATAATTTATGGTATACCAAAAACTTTCCCTATCTTTTTAAAATCCATGTCCCCACCCCGTAATTAACCCCCAAAAATTAGTGCCACCCATCCCAAGCCGCCACTAAAAAAGCCCAAAACGATGCCCCCGTTAGCGGGCTATTAAACGAGAAAGGGCACTCATGCTCCCCGTCTGCTAGGAGAAAAGAGAACTAAAAGAGAGCATGAGGAAGAGATGGAGTTGATGGATTATATGGCCTGAGGGTATGAGTGGGGGCCCTTCTCTAGCTTGCTCCTGCCCCCATCTTTTTCGGTATTTATTCTTAGCCTGCCCCTCCACTTATCATCATCCATCCTTCCTTTTCGCACATTCGCATCGTGGTGGTGGCAGCTGTTTTTATTTTTGGTTTTCACACGTTGCTCGTGTTTTCGGGATCAGTTAGTTAGCTTGGGATGGGTGAGCTTAGATTGGGTTTGTGCTTCATTTAAGCCGAGGCGTAGAAACGGTATTTGCTAACTTGCCGGAGAGCGATGGCAATTTTAAGGTTGGGTTGCTGTTTTGAGGTGGCTTTTGCTCTCACACTCACTCTCTCGCTCTCTCTCTCACTATCTCACTAACTCTCTCTCTCGTGCTATTTCTCTCGCTCTCTCTCTCGCTCTCTCGCGCTATCTCTCTCTATATGTCTCTATCTCTCTCTCACGCTATCTCTCTCACGCTATCTCTCTCTATCTCTCTCACGCTGTCTCTCTATATGTCTCTATCTCTCACGCTATGGCCCTCTATCTGTCTCTCTTGACATGGCTTATTGCTTGCTCGTTGTCTATCTCTCGCTCTCCCTCCCAATCGAACCCCAATATTAAGCTGATTGCCAGAAAAATTTGCCCCAATCACATTCCGCCCATGTCTTGGGGGTGTTCGGTTTGGGCCAAGCTGAGGGAGAGAGAGAGAGAGAGAGAGAGAACCAGAAACACCAGCCGACTGATAGTGATTCATCACCTGGGCCTCCCGCTGCTCTCTCTCTCTCTCTCTCTCTCTCTCTCCCTTCCATCCTCATGCCCTCCGGGCCAACTGCAGCCTGCCTTCCCCCTTTAATCCCCGTGGCTGACTGGTCGAGACGTGCTCGGCCCTCATATAAACACATGCTCCTTTGGACATTCCTCTCCCGCTTCCCCATTCGATGGCCCTCATTTCCATATTCACTCATTTACCAACACTCTCAGCACCCCTCATTTAGCACTCACTGGCTGACAGGGGCTATTAATTAGAGGGCTAGGGAGAATGGGTGGTCATTTGCACTTGCAGTTGGGCTACGGTAACTGGGGTGTATTTTAGGCGGTAGACGGGGAAATTATATATCTGTCTCTCTCCCTAACTCTCTCGTTTTACCACTCTCTCTAGCTTTAACTTCATGAGCTGGCGGGTTGTCTTAGAACGCTCCGATGCTCGGAAGAAGCCATAGAGAGAAGGCGAGAGAGAAGGAGAGAGAGCGAGAGAGAGACAATGAGAAGCCTAAAACCGCGCAAATTTCCTATTTACGGCCGGAATTCGATCCTTCTCTCTCTCATCTCTCTCTCTCTCTCTTTCTCTCTCTCGCTCTCCTCTCTCTCTCGCCTCTCTCTCTCTTTGTTCTCACCTTTCTTCCCTTTGGCCCCAAACTAGCACCGTCCCTTTAACGTCGGCTTGTTTTCTCTAGCGAACCCCAGTAGCCAAACCCTAAAAGTCCTTGTGGACAACGGACATTTCCTGTGTACTGCCCTGTCAGACGGCTTCTCCTTCTCATTCTCCTTCCTCGTGAGGTCTGTCTCCAGATGGCTGTCACTCAACATCATCATCCCCTCCTCCTCTTCCTCCTCCTCTGCTTCTCCCCTT